GCTTTCCCGATCTATTTTTATTAATTGCCATTATTATTTTATCATTCTTTATCTAAGGGGTCTTTAAAAATCTTTTCTTTAAAGACGATAGTGCAAGTTACATGCCTAGCTAAAGCCCAGATCTCATGGCAAAGAAGGCTGTGTTCTTCCCTCTAAAGGTAGCATATTACTTATTCAGACACATTGGTTTTACGAAACAAGGCATGGAGTTATATAAACAGAAAGGTCCCACCTATATAGCAATTAAAGAGAAAAAGACTAGGAGAAAATACTTAAGTTATTGTTTCTCTGCATTTTTTAAATTTCTACACTATATATATTAATTTTAACCAAAAAGTGAGTAAAATATTTGAAAATATATGATGTTCTTGGCAATCTAAGTGACGGGAGAGCTGTGACAGTGAGCCCATTTTCAGAGGATTATGAAAGAATATTGCTTTTTAGAATTGCAGAGATGGTGAAAAAAATAACCCAGTCCTGGGACGATGAGACTTAATTATTAGGTAAGATTTCTTTTTGATTTTATATTCCCGGGCTTAGTTCTTTTCAGAAATTTGGTCCAAAGATTATTGATCTGCTATAGTTTTACAAAGCTCATTTTAATTAAGAGTGTCTAATAAAAGAATCATGTCTCTTGCTAAGTCAGGCCTTGGTAAGCTTAGGATAAAATAGGCTATAAATATTCCGTGGCCACACTGGTGCAAAGTTACGTGCAATGCAGGGTTTTAAAAATTCGAGTGCATATCATCAAGATCTGCTGCTTTTTAGGTAACGCCAACGTATTCAATTAAAAGCATGCTGACAATTAATATAGCCGTACTGTTTTATTATGCATCTACTCAACTTTATTTTTGAATCACCCCTCTACTAAATACTTTTTTAAAATTCTAAGTCTTCCTACTCTGGCTTTCACAGAACTGGTTCACGGTGGCAGGGTGAAGGCATTACACAGCAAAAAAATCAGCAAGCTATGTTAAAGCCGAAAGCTAAATCCTTCCCCATAAAACATACAATTTCCAGATATAGAATTTCAAAACTGATTAGATTAATATTTGGAATAATATAAAAATTAAATGTTTTAAGTTTTTTTAAATATTTCAATTAACTTCATAAAAACAGTAACTGACAGAAATATAAGGCACTATTCAATGGATAAAATATTTGGCCAAAGAAACAAACACCATTTCAGTGGTTTGATGTCAGAAAAGGGAAATCGTGGTCTAGATGGATTTGTTTTAATCAAAGACAATAGGGATATAAACATGCATGTCCCAATTTTCCTGACAAGAAACAGCTTTTCTCTCCTGAGGAAATTTTTTTTTGCTTTCAAGATCTGAAACCAAAAAACCCAAAAGTCAAAGTTGCTTTTAAAGTTTGACATCCTGAGGCTTAAACAGAAAGAAGTACTGTATTTTTGTGTTTTCTTTTGGTTCTCCAGCAGACTAAGTCCCTGGCTTCCTACATCAACAACCCTTTAGATAATTACCAAAGAACAGGTTATAAATAATTATTCGTCATGAGTTCTAGAATCAGATCCCAGGCGAAAGGTTTAAGACATCACAGTAGGTTGAGAGAAAGAACAGATCATCTAATCTTGGACAGATTCAGCCTACCAATTTGACAATAGCATCTTCCATCTGGAGGATGCTTGCTACATCCCATCCTCCTTGCATTTTTGTGTATCAAAAAATATATATTCTTTAAAAGAAGAATAGTAAGGAAATGGGGAAAAAGGGAGAAAATGTCCAAGTCCTTATATTTTGATCTTTATTTTCTGACCCAATAAGTACACTCATTATGCAAAGGATATATTTCCCATTATTATTAGATGAGACCCTAAAAAACCCTCACAGTGGCTATCTCTTAAGTACCAAGTTAACATTTGCACTTTCCCTATTGAAGGAACATATAGATTGGAGCATGCTCTGTATTGCACTATAAAGTGATTCAAAACAGACTATAGCTTATGAAACAACAATCCAGTGATAATTTCATTAAAAATGTCTTACATCTAAGTCATATGTGTCACTCCCCAATTTAGAAAAAATTACAAAAGTATCATAGTCAACTCACTTCCATCAATGCAGTGTGGTAAATTCAAATAAATTGCCATGCTTGTTTTCTCTCTTGTTAATATTTTAAGAAGATTCCATAGCTTTAGTGTCTTTAGGGTAAAAAAATGCAAAAACATTTCTTTCTACAAAAAATATTAAGGTGACAAATGTTCTTCAAAACTATGAGATGAAAAGGGAAAAACATCTGTGATAGCTTTTTGAAAAAAAGTTTTGATACTAAATTCACTGATGGGCATAACCTTCAAGTCACCTTTAGGAAGAGTGGTTAAAGTGAAAGAGTCTAATATGAAATAAAACATTTTGCTAAGTGTGGAACTGGATCTTCATTTTTAAGTCATGGGAACTGTTTTTCCCTAACAAAGTGACTGTTATAATTCTTTGCATTATCCTGCAGTGCCCAGATTGAACAATACATCATGTGACATTGGAGTTAAGATTTTAAGCTATAGGCAGTAAAGTTAGCCTGAGTAATTGGCCATTATTTTGTTCGTATGCAACACTTTCCTCCTCCTGTAACCAGTTGGAAGCTGAACAATTTCTGAGCTAGTTTAGATACAAGGCAAAACAGGCTAATTGTGAAGTTAGACATGTGTTTCCTTGTAAATGTCTCTCTGCAGAGTCATCTCATTTGCAAAGCCCTAAAGAAAACTAACAGCAGAAGCCTGCCGGTTAACCATGTGTTCTCATTGCAGAAAGTGTTTGCAGCGAATATGCAACATGAAATTGCCAAGGATTTTTATATATTTTAATACAAGCAGAAAGTAGTAGGTAAGAAGGCAAAATTACTGCGTAATTAGCATTCGACTTTATCTAGATGGCATCCCGCTGAGTCCAGAAGGCAGGGAGTTTTCTTTCTCCTTTCCTTTATTTATCCAAACGAAACCAGAAAATCCTGTTTTTATAGTAGTCACAAGCCAATGCCCTCACTCTGTCATCTGCCTCTCACAACAACTTGAGACATGGGATCTCCTTGCTTAGAGATAACCCTTCCCTCAGCAATCTAGAACATCCTTCCCCCACACAGCCTGCAATGCTGCAGTTTCACATTAATGAACCAAAAGTAACTCCCTAAATTAACCCCTTCTATTTTAAACATTATTTCTACTTTAATACAAATGAGCCAAGAGGACTTATAAAAATAAACAACGAAACCTCTAGAAACCCACACCTTTTCTGATTACATACTGATTAATATGACCCTGTCATTTAATAAAAACAGAGTCTAGAGAAAGCAGGCTGCAAAAAGAAGCTATTTAAGTCTGAAGTCTCTACTTTTTATAAGCAGCAGTTTCTTCTCACCCACAGCAAGCATTTACCTCTTGTGCTTGTGGCCTCAGCACTGGCCTTAGTTATACATTCCTTTCTTCACTTTGTCTTGCAGTATTCTGAACTTTTTCACCCCGAATTACCCCCAAAGCATTATCCAAAATAAAGGGACATTTTAACAGTTAGGAGTGAACGAGACAGCAGGAAGTCTGTATAGAGTCCTTGTTTAAATAAACATGTTTAAAGATAAGGAAAATCTATTCCAATGCAATTATCAAAATCTGAAAGGAGAAATATGTTACATTTTAAAAGGAGGGAACATATCTGGTTTTATTCAAGGTTGTGGTAAATCTGGCAACTTATAAGTTAATTGAAAATTAACTCAGATGCCTTTTCTATCATTGCAGTTACACATAGGGAGTACTAAACCATCAGACGACAAGGCAATTGTTTGTGTCCAAACTTATCATAAACTATGTTTCCCTGGATTTTTCATCTCAGCAGATTTCAAATTCTCCTTTCCAAGGTATATTTGACCTTCAAATTTCAGGCCCTGTATTTCTTGCTTTCCTGCATCCATCATATGTTAGAAAACTCAAACTGGGCTACAAGTACTTATTTCCGTTAACTGACTTTAATGAATTTTGGTTGTTTTCAAAACCTGCAATCTGTTCCTTGTGCCAACCCTGCATTGCAGAGAAGTCTTAGCGTGCGATTCCAGCTTGGCCCCTGCAAATAGAGTCACTACAAACAGGTTTTACTTGTATTCGCTAGGGGAGAAGAGAGGAGAGACAGCCCCCTGCTCCCTGCCAAGCTGACAGGCCAGGCTGGGTGACAAGCCCCCAGGGTAGCTGGACCTCCCGCTCACCGGCCTGGGCGCTGTCCTTGGTGCTGCCGGCGCCATAGCGAGCACAAGCGCCTTACCTTGTGCCCCTGCGGAAGCTGTCGACGTCCCCCAACCGTTAAGCAGAATGCAGCGCCACATCCCACTTTTAATACAAATAACTACCCGGGCCTGTGCTCTTTGTCCCCTTCCCGAAGCCTTCAGGCCGACCGTTCCTCAAAGTCTTTTTTTTTTCTTCTAGACTCAGCTCCTCCGCGCTCCTCTCCAGCTGCTTTAAGACAAGGAGTGGGGGAAGGGGAGGAAGGCAGGGGAGGATGAGGATGGGGGAGGGGAGAAGAGGGAATGTAGGGGGAGGGGAGGGAGGAGAAGGGAGAAGGAAAAGATTGGAAGAAAAGGGTCCCAGAGGAAGGGACTTAGAGAGAAGGGCGGGGGGAGTGGGAGGGATAGAGCCCCAAACAAAAAGGAAGGGAAGTGATTAGGCACAGAAGATGCGTAAAGAAAGAAGTGTCAGGGACAGGGCAAAAGAAGAGAAAGCCGTGAGGATAAGAGTGTGCAGGGCTGTGGGGGACCAGGGGGTCCGGAGCAGAGCTGCCAGCAGGGCGGGAGAGTGACGAGACAAAGAAAGGGCACCGAACGGGTGGATACTGGCACCACGGGTGTAAAAGGCAATCGGAAAGTGAGAAATGGAAAGAAGGCGACTGCGGGGCGACAAGTGGTCTGGGCGGAAAGTGGCCCTGCGGGGGAGAGGCTGGGACCGGGGCAGCGAAGTCCGGGGTCCGGTGCGGCGTGGCCCACGTGGAGCGGGCGCTGAATCACCGCTGAGTCGTCATCCCCTCCCCTCCTCCCCGACCGGCGCCCGCAGTCCCCGCCTCCCCGGCCGCCGCCTCCACGGGGCGGGGCCCTGGCCCGGGACCAGCGCCGCGGCTATAAATGGGCTGCGGCGGGGCCAGCAGAACGCTGTGACAGCCACACGCCCCAAGGCCTCCAAGATGAGCTACACGCTGGACTCGCTGGGCAACCCGTCCGCCTACCGGCGGGTCACCGAAACCCGCTCGAGCTTCAGCCGCCTGAGCGGCTCCCCGTCCAGCGGCTTCCGCTCGCAGTCGTGGTCCCGCGGCTCGCCCAGCACCGTGTCCTCCTCCTACAAGCGCAGCATGCTCGCCCCGCGCCTCGCCTACAGCTCAGCCATGCTCAGCTCCGCCGAGAGCAGCCTCGACTTCAGCCAGTCCTCGTCCCTGCTCAACGGCGCCTCCGGGCCGGGCGGCGACTACAAGCTGTCGCGCTCCAACGAGAAGGAGCAGCTGCAGGGGCTGAACGACCGCTTCGCCGGCTACATCGAGAAGGTGCACTACCTGGAGCAGCAGAACAAGGAGATCGAGGTGGAGATCCAGGCGCTGCGGCAGAAGCAGGCCTCGCACGCCCAGCTGGGCGACGCGTACGACCAGGAGATCCGCGAGCTGCGCGCCACGCTCGAGCTGGTGAACCACGAGAAGGCTCAGGTACAGCTGGACTCGGACCACCTGGAGGAAGACATCCACCGGCTCAAGGAGCGCTTCGAGGAGGAGGCACGGCTGCGAGACGACACCGAGGCGGCCATCCGCGCGCTGCGCAAAGACATCGAGGAGGCGTCGCTGGTCAAGGTGGAGCTGGACAAGAAGGTGCAGTCGCTGCAGGATGAGGTGGCCTTCCTGCGGAGCAATCACGAAGAGGAGGTGGCCGACCTGCTGGCCCAGATCCAGGCGTCGCACATCACGGTGGAGCGCAAAGACTACCTGAAGACAGACATCTCGACGGCGCTGAAGGAGATCCGCTCCCAGCTCGAGTGCCACTCCGACCAGAACATGCACCAGGCCGAAGAGTGGTTTAAATGTCGCTACGCCAAGCTCACCGAGGCGGCCGAGCAGAACAAGGAGGCCATCCGCTCCGCCAAGGAAGAGATCGCCGAGTACCGGCGCCAGCTGCAGTCCAAGAGCATCGAGCTAGAGTCAGTGCGCGGCACCAAGGAGTCCCTGGAGCGGCAGCTCAGCGACATCGAGGAGCGCCACAACCACGACCTCAGCAGCTACCAGGTAGGAACCGCGGCTGCGCGGCCAGCCTGCGCCAGCGCCAGCGCCGCGCGCCCCCGACGCTCGGGCGCGTGCCAGGCGCCCTCTCCCCCGCGCTCCCTGGTGGCCGCTCGCCAGTGCGCGCGCGCCGCAGACCTAGCGTAGTTGTGGAAGGGTGCTCGCCCCTTTTCTCCTCCCCCACCCACCTGCCCCAGAGGCCTAAGAGTTCTAACCTTTTTCCAAAAAGGGCTTCTTTTCCTCGCCAGTTCCAGTTTTGCACGCTTGCACGTTTAAAGTAGGAGGTATGCATTCGGTAGTTAATAAAGCAGTAACTTTAGGATAGCTTATACAGAAATGCATGTATTCTCTACTTTTCCGGCAGTGATGGAACAGCTCTCAAAATTGCCTTCAGCCCAATAGGGCTCAGATGGGAATGACCCGATCAGCCATGGAGTTTCCCCATGCATGTTTGTTCCCTGTTGAGATGTGTTCTAGGCCCACGGGTCTCAGCGCATGATGTGCCCAGGAAATGTTTTATTGCCTTATTGATTTTATTTAAGAATTCCTTAGATGCAAAAGAAAGGGCGGGGGGATGGGGCTCACAGTGATGTCTGCGAGGTTTGCACAGCTGGAAGGGGACTGGGTAGGCGGTGAGGGGAAGCGATTACAAGTGGTCTGTAAAGGAAGTTGCTGTTTGGAAAGACGAGTTTGTGGAGACGCCCTGTGTCTGTTGCAGGACACCATCCAGCAGCTGGAAAATGAGCTTCGGGGCACAAAGTGGGAAATGGCTCGTCATTTGCGGGAATACCAGGATCTCCTCAACGTCAAGATGGCTCTGGATATCGAGATCGCTGCGTACAGGTAACGTGCTGGCTGCGTACGTGGCCGGAATACCAACCGCACTGCAGTGGCTGTTCACGCAGAACCTTCCCCATTTAAGTTAAAGCAGGCAGGGCGCAGAAGTCAAATCAGCGCCTGGTTTTCCTGCTAACTTAAATTATTCTAAAGAATTGCAAAGGTAGTTTTGCCACTTTTTATACAGCTTTAAAAGAGTGAATACTAGTAAAAATAAAGGGCTTTGAATCACGAGGGGTGGGGGAAGGAGGCGCCGATTAATTTTAATGCATATGCTTAAACTTTTTATTGAGAAATGTTTTTGAATGTCTGAAGCACAAATAGAGTTTTAGTTTGTCATATTTGATATGGTAGTTTCAGCTTTACAAATTTATAATGTCAAGGACAAACACCAGAACATTCTACTTCTCTGTTATAGCTTACTATTGCCATCATCTGGCTGAGAATAGATACAGATTGACATATTAGAATATAGATATATTTATTCTTATATACATAGATAATTTAGGTGTATTATATTTTATTACATAGTTGTGTAGATTGTATGTCTAGATATGTATATTTATCTTCATATGTATAGATCTACAGCTGTGTATGTATAGATATATATAAATCTAGATATATAGATGTATACATGTATGATCTCTTTATAGATAGAGAAATAGATTATAAATCTACCAACTGATGTGACCTTGCTGTTGACTAAGTTCAAAGGACAAAATCCTTGGTTGGACAGTTTTTCTGCTACCAGAATAGACACTTTATGATTAAAATTACAGACCAATTTATAACTTGATACACCCTATTAGCACCTAGCTAAAATCTGATATACCCTAAATTCTGAAATATGCTTAATAGTTTTGTGAATTTTTTTGAACATTGTATTTTCTAAGAAAGAAATTAATGCATATCCTGAAAGTCCAAATGCTCAAAAAGGTCACTAAATTGTTTGGTTTTGAGGTTTGGGTTTTTTCGGTGTTTGTTTATTTTGTTGTTTTGTTTTGTTTTTTGGCCTCTAGGGAACTTCTCAGTGTTGCACCAAATGGATCTCTGCTGCAGGGCTGAGACTTAGTGGCTGGGTGTGGTTAGTGGACCATTGGGCATAGTTAGTTACAGCAGGGGCAAGTGTATGGCAGTCCAGGGGAATCTGTCTGTCACTGAATATGACACAATATACCAGTGAAATGATAGCAGGTATTACACCGGAATGATGGAATCTTTCACTTATGTAGTTCTATTTATCCAAAGGGGGCTACTGCATTATCCACAATGTAATGAAACTCAGAAGGCCCAATGAGATTTTAACTATGACTTCTCTTTGATTCTCTCCTTTTAGAAAACTCCTGGAGGGTGAAGAGACCAGGTTTAGTACATTTGCAGGAAGCATCACTGGGCCGCTGTATACGCACCGACAGCCCTCAGTCACAATATCCAGTAAGATTCAGAAAACCAAGGTCGAGGCTCCCAAGCTAAAGGTCCAACACAAATTTGTGGAGGAGATCATAGAGGAAACGAAGGTGGAGGATGAGAAGTCAGAAATGGAAGACGCCCTGACCGCCATTGCGGAGGAATTGGCCGTTTCCGTGAAAGAAGAGGAGAAGGAAGAGGCAGGAGAAAAGGAAGAGAAAGAAGAAGCTGAAGAAGAAGCTGTAGCTGCCAAGAAATCGCCAGTGAAAGCCGCCGCACCCGAAATTAAAGGAGAGGAGGAAGGGGAAAAGGAGGAAGAAGAAGGCCAAGAGGAAGAAGAAGAGGAGGAAGATGAGGGCGCTAAGTCGGACCAAGCTGAAGAGGGCGGCTCGGAGAAGGAAGCCTCCAGTGAAAAAGAGGAAGGTGAACAGGAAGAAGAAGGAGAAACTGAGGCTGAAGGTGAAGGAGAGGAAGTGGAAGCCAAGGAGGAAAAGAAGATTGAGGAAAAGCGTGAGGAAGTGGCGACCAAGGAGGAGCCGGTGGCAGAAGCCAAGGTGGGAAAGCCAGAAAAAGCCAAGTCCCCGTTGCCAAAATCACCAGTTGAAGAGGCGAAGCCCAAGCCCGAAGCTGCAGTGGGCAAAGCTGAACAGAAAGAGGCAGAGGAGAAAGAAGCAGCCAAGGAATCTCCCAAGGAAGAGAAGGTCGAGAAGAAGGAAGAGAAGCCGAAGGATGTGCCGGCTAAGAAGAAAGCTGAGTCCCCGGTGAAGGAGGCCGCGGAGGAGGTGGTCACTGTCACCAAATCAATAAAGGTACACGTGGAGAAAGAAGTCAAGGAAGAGGAGAAGCCACAGGAGAAAGGGAAGGAGAAAGCGGAGGAGGAGGGAGGGGGTGAGCAGGAAGGGAGCGACCAAGGTTTGAAGGAATCCAAGAAGGAAGACATAGCTGTCAATGGGGAGGTAGAAGGGAAAGAGGAGGAAGAGCAGGAAACCAAGGAAAAAGGCAGTGGCAGAGAAGAGGAAAAAGGCGTCGTCACCAATGGGTTAGACCTGAGCCCGGCAGATGAAAAGAAAGGGGGTGACAGGAGCGAGGAGAAAGTGGTGGTGACCAAAACGGTAGAAAAAATCACCAGTGAGGGGGGAGATGGTGCTACCAAATACATCACTAAATCGGTCACTGTCACTCAAAAGGTCGAGGAGCATGAAGAGACCTTTGAGGAGAAATTAGTGTCTACTAAAAAGGTAGAAAAAGTCACTTCACACGCCATAGTAAAGGAAGTCACCCAGGGTGACTAAGATTTTGAGTCCATTGCAAAAGGTTAAGCCATATGACAAATTTCAAAATGCATGTGATTGGCAGCTTCAAAATAGAACGGGTTCTCCCATGGGGGCTCCAGACATTGTATTTTACTTTGTGCAATATGAGGGGACTGCATGCAAGCTCAGGGTGCTCCCTCTTCAGTCTTTGGGGGATTCAAATGCATGATATCGTAGGTACCTGGGGAATTTGCCAATTTCCTAAGCTGTTGGAAGGGGGGCACTTGGGGGGATGTCTTGAGATGTATTATGCAAAGTACCAACTGAGCCAAAAATAATAAATGAAACACAGAACTCTCTTAGCCTTAAGAAAGCTATATATGAATAATTATGTTTACCTCACTGGTGCATTTAGAGTGGAGTTTTGTTCATGGGAGAACCTCTGTTGACATGCACAGTTTGCAATCTTATGTTGATTGATGTTAAACGTCACAGCAGTACTTGCTCAATAAAGGTCATATTGGAAACATAGTCAATTGCTTGGTGTATGTCATTTCAAAGTGAAATCTCGACTACTGGAAGTTTTTGTTTTTTAGGCATTTGTTTGTTTGTTTGTTTGTTTGTTTTTTGAGACAGGGTCTCGTTCTGTTGCCCAGACTGGAGTGCAGTGGCCTCATCACAGCTCACTGCAACCTCAAACTCCTGGGTTGAAGTGATCCTCCTGCCTCAGCCTCCTGAATAGCTGGGACTACAGGTGTGCACCACCATGCCTGGCTAATATTTTTATTTTTTGTAGAGGGGTCTCACTATTGCTCAGGCCGGTCTCAAATTCCTGGGCTCAAGTGATCCTCTCCCCTTGGCCTCCCAAAGTGCTAAGATTACAGGTGTGAGCCAGCACACCAGGCCTGGGCCTCACTACTGGAAACTTTCTTTCCATAGAATACATTATTTGGGGGAATTCTAAGTCACCTTCACTTCCTATCACAAACTCCCCCTGAGAGTGATTTCTTAGAAAACTTAATTGCTGAAGATATCTTTGGGTTTCAAAATCTTTACTTAGCTCAGACTTCATCCCGAAATTTTAAAAACATAATTTGAAATAAAAATGAAAACATCAGACAAGAAAGGAAATTCGGTGGGATAGAGGTCTTCAATGTTTTGATCCGAAGATCCCAAACCAGAACATAGAGGACCTCCAGGTGAGAGAGCCAATAACAGAGTCATAACTCGGGCCTTGGAGGGGGGACAGGGACAAAGGCACTCATGACAATGTGTCCAGGAGAGACAAGGCTGAAATCACTGACACTCTTATAATAGGAAATATCCCGTCTCAGGTGGGTGATCCAGTTCACAAACACACACACACACACACACACACACACACACACACACGCACTTATCCGCATCACTGATTCTCACTGGTTGAGGGAAATTCGTACTTTTAGTACTTTACTAATTGGGGAAAATAATGTCAAAAATAAATAAAATACCCTAATTGGGAAAAGAAAAATGAGATTCTCTGACATAGGCAATAAGTGTTTTTAAATAAAAAGGCCTGATCTTGACCAAGGAAGTAATAATACTATTCCCTTTTCAAAATGTATTTGCTTTAGACCTTGAAGACTATTAATATAATAATTAGCATATTATATTTTCCAAGTCCATTTTTTATCAATGGAATCAGCCCAATAATATAATACTTTATTCATTTTAATGATTTTTCAAGATACTCCAATTTTAATGCATGAACATATTAAGGAAGTTCATTGTTTTGTTGTTTTGTTTTTTGTTTCTTTTTAATTTCAAAATATTAAGGGGGTACAAATGATTTTGTTACATGGATAGCTTTTATAATGCTTACGTCAGGGCTACAAGTGTGCCCATCACCCAAATAGTGTTCACTGTACCTATTAGGTAGGTTTTTACCCTTCCCCTCCCCCGCCAGAAGCTCCTTGTTAATGACAATTAGCCATTTGCAGATCCTCACAAGTTCTGCTATATCTGCATATCATCTATACAATTGTTTACATTTTTTTCTTTAAAACAACTCATGTTTTATGTTAAGACACTAATTTTTCTGAAGCAATAATATCCATGACATTCTCAGTGAAGCAGGATTATTTAAATATAACCAGCAACAATACTGACTCTAGCAATATAGAATTAAAAAATAAAAAACAGTGTACTGGAAGGATATAGGGTGCCTCTAGACATGGAAAGATCAGCAGTGGAAGCAGGTGTTGAGAAAGACAAGCTGGGACACCCCCCCGGGGACAGAGGTCACAGGAATTATCGTGCAGTCACCACGGGGCTGATTGAACACAAAAATTCGTATCACTTCATTGGAATTTCAGGAGCAGAGCATCCTATATTTCACTCACACCTTGGGCAGCATCTTGATTGACAGTCCCACCGAGACTGACTTCAATGATGGAGCAGCAACTCTCCAGAGAAAAATCTGGGCGCTGTGATCAGAAGTGGGAATAGAGACTGGACCTATGTGGTATGATCTATATGAATTTTTAAAGTACGTGCTAAATATATAACCATTACTATAAAAATACTCTTTTGCTCCTAAAATCATCTCACTTACCAGCACTGGTCCCTGGGGCTTAGAAGTTTTTTTTTTTGTTTGTTTTGTTTTGTTTTGTTTTTTGTAGCATATACTGCTTGAAAGTGACAGGATCAATCAGCAAAACTCTCCAAGGCCAGCACTAGAGATTTAACCCTTCAGCCCTAATTTTGTTTTCAACCTTCTCCTTTTCTTTCCTAAGAAGCTAAGAATTTTAGTAATACTTCCACATATTCCGTAAGACAGAATCACTGTTTTGCCCTCTTCAAAAATGATAGAAAAACATACCTTTGATAAGCCATGCAAACATTTCTAAGTAAATCAAAGTGCCTGGCTGATTCATTAATTCAACAAATGTTGATTGAGGACTAGGACCTGGAGAGACAATAGTCTTCTCTTAGAAAATTATTCTGTTGTCAATGCCAAACATTACATTATTATTTAAAGAGAAAGCAATTTGAAATTCATGTTTCCCAATATGTTCAGTGACAGGGAGAGACTACATTTAAACTAAGCACAAACCTCCAAGTGTTTAGGAAATTCTAGTACCTTTTCTCTGACTGCAATTAGTTTCTGGATACAGTGACATTAAGCCATTGAACAATACAAATTTCAACTTTGCCAGTAGATTGCAAAAATACAGATACTATTTCACTTTAAATAGTGCAAGGAGTGCCAAAGATAATTTGTTTCTCATTTTCAAACATAAGGAAATAGAATTTTTTAACAGAGCACTTGCTCAGGGTCACACAGTCTGGGATTTAACTCAGACAGTACGGCTCCAGGCCATGTACTCTTCACCCCTACACCATACAACCCTCAAATCCATCCAAGCAGCCATCTGAATTTATAAGGACGTTCAGCTATGGTCCTTTCTTTCTTTGCAGATTGACAGAAAGGAAACAGAACCATGCCACAAATCTTTTATTTAATATGCTTACATATTTACATTTTATCACTTCTCTATGGCACTGTGTTTGCATCATAAGAAGAATAAATACTCCAATACGAAATAAGTGGTGATTCTTTGTCACAACAGCTTGCAATGTACAAAAATATGGCAAATACTTTTCTCATAGTAACTTTCATATTCAATAGAAAAAGGAAGTGTTGTTTCTAGTACATTTCCTTCTATTGCCAGTCAGTGCAGAGATGGTATTAAAACATTAGGATATTCGTTTCCACAACAAATAGGTTGGTTGTTCCAGTTTGGAACAAGTTATTTTTTCATGGTCGTTTATATAATTTACCCAGAGGGAAACAGGAGCTATTTTTAAGTGAATTATTTTATTAGATCTACATAAAATTCATCTATTTTTAGGGCACCTCTGCCTTCAGAGCTTGGCAAAAGCATTGGATTAGGGTTCAAATCCCAGTTCACAGATAGCAAAATTGTGTGTCTTGAGTCCATTATATTACCCCTCTCAGCTTCTACTTATTTGTAAAATAGGGCTGCTCAGGTGATTAAATGAGATGATATCTATGAAAGTACTTAGTACCATAGCAGGCACATAAAAGCCGATCAAAACCATTTGTTAGGCCAGGCGTGGTGGCTCACCCCTGTAATTGTAGCACTCTGGGAGGCTAAGGCAGGAGGATCGCTTGAGGTCAGGAATTCAAGACCAGCCTGAGCAAGAGCAAGACCCTGTCTCTACAAAAACAAAAACAAAAAAAATAGAAAAATTAGCCCAGCATGGTGGTGTGCACCTGTAGTTCCAGCTGCTTGGAAGGCTGAGGCAGCAGAATCACTTGAGCCCAGAAGTCTGAGGTTGCAGTGAGCTATGATGATGTCATTGCACTCTAGCTGGGGAGACAGAGTGAGATGCCATCTCAAAAAAAAAATTGTTGAACATATTGAATTTTAAACTAGATCAAAGCTTTAGATACAGAATTTGTTTAATCTGGAGATAAATTAATTGGTACATTATATGTAATTTCATTACAGATTGCAATTATGGTAAGTTTATACAGTAAGTATACAATATAAATATAAACGTACTCCTTATTCCAGACCTCTCTCATTTAGAGTCAGACACAAGCACGTCAAGTGTGGTCAGCCAAGAAGCAAGTGAGGCCTGAGGGTTTGTGCCCAGAAAAGACAGAAGGTCAGAAGATACTCGGGGAAAGAGCCACACCAGGGACAGCTGGTCCCGGGAGGCTCTACGGCAGTGGTAACATCCGTCTCTACAGCAATGCCAGTGATTACAACACCAAAACCTTGGACATTTCTCTACAGTTCAGAAAGTAGCTTCAGATACATTATCCTGTTGAAACCGTGCAATATGTAGGACAACTATTGTGATGTCTCTTTTCAATCTGCAGAAATGTAAGCTCAGAGAAGTGATTTATCTATATCAGAGGAACGTCACCAGTCAGCCCTATCATATGCATTACTAGGACATTTTTTAAAGAAAAGATATTTTACTTTTTAAATTTTAAGTGTAACAAACATTCATTGTAGAATATTGGCATTATAGCATATTCACCAATATTCTTTCCACCTTAGAAAACTGTTATATTTCGGTGTATTTCCTTCTGACTTTTTTCTATGCACAAATTTGACATGATCATTCTGAAAATATCATTTAGTAACCCATTTTTTTCAGTAACAAGATATTATAAATGTTTCCCCACTTTATTTCACATTCATGGCCATGATTAGATACTACATGATGCTTAATATTTACCACATGTCTCCGTCATTCTGCAAACAGCTCCGCTGTGTCTATGGTTACTGCAACCCATTTATTCCAGTTGATTCAATAACTTCAAAACCATAATATTACAGCCTCAAACTATTTAGATTATGAAAATAAGCACATTTAATGGATAATAATAATCTTTATTACAATGATGATTATATTACACTTGACCCTTTCTTGAAGACCATGCTACCAATGCATAATCACCAGATGTTTATTGGGCATCCAGTTTATACAGGAGACAAACCAGCTATAGGG